AAAGGACTGCAGCCAAGTTAAGGCTGATGCCTAGGAGCTGAGGTCTCAGAAAGTGGACAAGGGCTGAGGGCTTAGCCAGAGAAAAAGGGGGCAACAGCTGGGACAGCTGAAGCCCTGACAGGTGCTTGGAGGCCTGAGGGGGTGATCCCTTGAAGTAGGGGGCACCCTGAGGGAAACACAGATCTCCTCCCAGGGCATGAGGTGGACCTGGCAGCAAAGACAGACTTGGCGGGCAAAGGAACCAGAAGAGCTACTCCTGGCTCCAGGGACCACCTCTTCAATACACCAAACAGTAACATCAAAGGCATGGTAGACAAAAGACTGGAGGTGAGGTAAGGCTGGAGAAAGCCAGCAGACAGACCCCCAAGGGGCACCAGGTGCCAGGGTGATAGACCCACATGGCCCTGTTACACCACCTAACAATCAAACTAGGCATAAAGAAGGGTACTGCATAAATTAAAAGCATTTACATTCCCATAGGCACCTTTCTCTCCACTCCTCCTGTTCTATAACTCAGTTTTCCACAACTTGTTCTGCAAAGCCTTGTGCTCCTCCCCTTCTGTAGAGCAGCCATAACTGCTGCAAAATCTAATTCCTACATGTACCAAGAATATTCTACACAAATGTTTCCATTACAAAACACCACTGTGCTCTGTAACATCCAGAGAAGCATGCACTAGTCAGGAATGATCCCTACATATTTTTTGGTGATGCCTGCTATAAAGCACAAAGAATAGTATGGAATGTAAAAGTCAATGATAAGAGATAATAACAAACCATTTCTAATTATGCTTCATACTGCTCAAATTAACACAGATGTCATAAACAGCAATCAAATAACAATAATTTAAACAATTAATGGAACCGGCAAAAACATTTACTGTGAACACTGCATTTCTGCTTCTGTTTCGATGCATTAAGATGACTTCAGTTTCTGTAACTCTATTTTACCTGTACTGAACAAGTTGCAGCAATCACACCATCTACAGGTGTTTCAGAGAAAGGATCAAATGTTCGATCAGGTCGTCGCATAAAATCTGGTTTAAGAAGATACCTTATTTTAAGGGAAAAGAAGAAATGTATCATATATGGATTTTCAAGATGACATTTTATCAGCTATAAATAATACTGATGCTCAAGCACTAACCAATGAAATGCTGCAGAACATTAATAAAAGAGAGAAAAGAAAAACTACAGTTGTCTAGTATAAGTGTTCATGTTAATATATAATTATCTGACTGTGGATAGTTTAAATCAGGCATGTAACTCTGGACTTCAAGAAATAAATAAAGTTATAATCTGACATTTTGAGTTATTTAGTAGTATAAGAACACATCATATCACAGCAAATATATTTTTTATTTTAATCTTTTATGCTCTGCTTGTTAAAACAAAAGAAGTTTAATTCAAAATTGTTTTTTAATTAAGCAATGCACCTCAGAGACTAGATCTGTATTGAATTTCAGCCTGCAGCTAATTTCTTCATCTTATAAACATTTGAGGGGAAAAGAGTTGATAATGTTAATACTGACAGATCCTTAATTATAGCGGTGTGAATGGTCCAGCCATAATACCACTTACAATATGTCCCAGGGGACTATGCACTCGCTCAGCATATCAATTAACCTAATATGTGCACTGAAGAGTAACAAATAAAGATTCCCACTTTAAAATAAAATGGCAGCTGATGTCCAGGAACACTGAGCTACATACAAAGAGAATTTTCTTCCAGAATTGGAAGAAAATGTGCAAATGGAGTTATCCTGCCAATTTATGGCACATTAAGCCTTGTACATACTCTGCTTGCTACATAAAAGCCACATTTCCATCCTAGATTCCACTGAGTATTTCATACCCAGTAGGCAGACAGAGCCACTTAAGTCATTTACTTCCATCAGTAGAAATATTGATATTTTATTTTTAATCCTAAACATAAGAAAGGAAGCATCAACTGAGGCAGTTGCTTTGTTCTCAGCCCTGCTCCATTTTGAAGAGGAAAAAAATAAACTTATACTAAATTTGACAGAGTTGCACGGTCATCTTCTAAGAAAACAGCAAACATAGCCATGTCTGTATTTACTTTTTCCTAAGAACTCTCTGCTTTCTTCTATCTTTAACTATTCATCGTCTATATTGTGGTATTCATTGAAGGCCCCCAAGAGGACTGCTAGGGACCATATGTTCTCAGAGAAAGAGAAAGTCCATGCCTCAAAGAGCTCACAATAGAAACAAACAGGATAGACAAGAATGGCAGAAGGAAAATATCATCCCTATTTAAGAAAAATCCCCATTTAAAAAATAATTACCAATAAAACAAACCCCTCAGGTATAGGAGAGCAATGCACACATGTTTAGAATGAGTGGAGATGGCGACTTGATTCCTCAGTGTTTTCTGGGCAATCTGCTCTCTCATGACAAATTAGTGGTTACTGTTACTTTTTGTGCATAGCTCTGTCTCAGTTTCAATTGTGGCCCATAAGCTCAGTGTATACTTCTTGCTTTTACTTTCCAAAGTCCACAATAAAAAAAAAATCTACTCTGTTATGACCAACTAAACTCACTTTTTTTTGTGAACTGTACAGTGAATCTATAACCTGAATCACATACTGAAACAAAGGATTCATAATTAAAAAATGAAGATTTTGCATGATCTTTACAATTTGTCACACTAGGTCTCTTCTCTTTCATTTAATAAAAATAAGCCTAGTTGAAAAGTATATTCATCACACTACTAGTTCACAGATGTAAATCAACCCCTGGAATTCTGCTCATTTCTATTCTTCACCCAGCATCCCATTTTTCTTTTGTAACACATAATTAATAGTGACAAAGTTTTAATAAAACCAGAGTATGGTGTTCTGATACATAGTGACAACAGTTTAAATCACATTACTCACCCGCATGATCCATTATATTCAAATTTTCCCTGATTCAATTGCATTGCTAAATCTGTCAAGAGACAAAAATAATTTAGTATCTTGTCTCTCTGAATAATGCAGATCTTGAACAGATGTCCTAGGAAGAGAAACTATGCTGCACTTTTTTGTCCAGAATAACTAGTATAACTAAGGGGACATCTCTGAAGTCCGTGATAAAACTTCCAATTACTTCACAAATGCTAAAGTCTTTATCAAACCAGCTGCAGTCAAAGCCATATTTTTAATAAAAATACGCTTTAGTCAGCAAGGGATGCCACCTCCATCCTGCCACATCAAAGAGATTCAAGGGTCAGCCTGAATGGACTTTAAGGATCAGTGTCACAGAAACTAGAGGAAATATTTTCAGTTCAGAAAATTCACTCACAAGCCTCTGAGTTTATTCTAGTTGGGTATTTGGGCCTATCTAAACAGATGCAGTAAACATGTAAAAATAAAACAAAAAAAACCATTTACGAATGCAAACATTTTCCTTCAACCTTCTAATTCTGCACTTTGCTCCTGTTTTTAAATCAAAGTCTGGTTTCCTTTTTCCCAGTGGATTTAGAAATTCTGCTTCCCAAAGCAGCTTAAGCCTTTGTTTAGGCCCTCCAGAATATTCATAAAAAAACAAAACTCAATTGCCTGTTATGAAGAACAATGGGATTTTGAATACATGCATCCTAGCCATTCATTTCTTTACTTGGCAGCCTCAAAGCATCATTGACCTTTTAAAGTTTACTTAGTGGATTTTCTTCTATTGTCATCAAGAATCCTCTGTCATTTTATAGTAGAATAATGATTGCAGGAAAGAAATAGCCAAGAATGCCACACAGGGGATGGGAATAATATGTAGAGAACAGGGGCAGTGTTAGGGAGAAAGCTGACGATCTCACTGCTGACTCTGTCCCCCTTCGGGAATGATTTACAAGCAACTTTTAGAGACATTTCAGCGCTGCTTTCTCCAGCCTTTCTCAGTGAGAAATGAATGATGGAAGTGATGCAGAGCTTTATGATCATTAGGATTGTTTTGAGCACTAAGGACACCATCAGACAGAATGAAAAATGACCAAAGCTGTGCTGTAGGCTGGAGGAAAGCATGGAGGAATACATCTGATACATGAAGCTGAAGACATTTCTAGATTCAGTTAGGCTAACAATTATTTACATTTTCTCTGGCCCAAAACATCAAATCAGCTCTGTGCTCTGCCTAGCAGAGAGCTATTTAAACTCTCCATCTGTATGCCTGTCGCCACCCGAAGAGGCAGGCTCTCTTATCTCATTCCCCAATATCTACTGATTAAGAAATGGAGCTGATAAGCAATTACTGCTATTTCCTGTATTTTTGTGTTCCTCCTATGTAACATTTTCTTGGGAAGCCAGGCACCTGACTATAGACAAATTGACTTTTGTAAAGAGGACTTTTGTAGGGGGCTGTAACTAATGTCTCTCTGACTAATTTCTACATATATTTCAGCATTTAAAATACTGTGTTGATTATGTTTGCAAAGAAAGGGGACTGAATATGCTTCCATGCTTTTTTTTAATTGTTCCCTTTTTTATGCCTCCATGATCCTCCACACATCAGATTATTCAGCCATATGTCTCCTTCCTCAAAAAATGCTACGAGCAAATCTATGGCATCTGTTTGAGAGTTACTGCCTAAGTCTTTCTTCAGAATTTAGGTTCACTGGACAGCACCGCCTACCTGGGGTCTGATAGTTCAGCGAGACCATCTGGCAGCCGGCGTTCCAGAAAATTTGAGGCATGTAATTACTGGAATCCACTCGGCCTCCCTTGGGGTATATCCGACTCATTTGTCGTTTATTATAACTGTGTAACTCGTTAAAGGAAAACAAAATGAAAACAACATAGAGACTTATCATTATTTCTTCATTTTTATATATTTTATGCTGTATCTTATGATGCATTTCCTATGCTACCGTGTAGCTAGAATATACTGTAAAATCAGAACCAGATCTGTCTAGTTTATTAGTAGCATTAGCAGAGGTCCACTGGCTAATCAAAAACAGTACTGTTCCTTAGCATACGACTGTCAGCATAAGGATACTTCACAAATTCAATTGCATGAGTCTTCAAATACCCAAGTCCAACTGATTCATTAAAAGAGGACATGTTGTGATGAATATTGCGTTCTAGAAAGAAAAGCAGTAAAATCCATTTTAAGATATAGTGATAATTTTGCAAAATACAAAACTATTAATTAAACACAATAGCATTATACACAATACAATGTTGATCTTTCTCAGTTTCCCCCTCTGTACTCCATATTATAGAACAAAATTATACTTGAGATAATCTTAACTAATAGTTCAAAGTTGTCACTTTTTCATTCTGGCAAGCCAATATAATTTTAAAAAGTTGCAATTAATTTAACAGCAAGACATATATCACTAGATAAGAGAAGGCAATATGGTAAATGCTTTAGAGTGAAATATATATCACAATAAACAGACAGTTGACTTTTGTGCCAATTACATCTATTCTACTTTTACAACTGAGAAAAAAGAAGACAGTCTAATGAAAAGGGGTTACACTACACAGTGATTTTTTATAATGAGGTTCCATATGTTAACTTAAAATGCTCCTTGTGATTCAGTGCCTCCATGTGGATGACAAATAGAATAACACTAATCTTCAATATAAAATTAATCTGTTATGTAAATACCATGCAAATGACACTTACTAAACCAGTGGTGCTTGAGACGCATTCTAAAAGCAGGGAATTTGTAATCTATGTTAAAACAAGTTAAGGAAAAGAAAGCAGACAAATATTTTTTTTTCATTTAACCTTGTATGTTACCTTCTGCTACATCGAAACCTTGAAACTTTACAGGCTGTGCGTAGTTGACCATTATCGACAAGTAAGGATGTATATTGGTTGTGGCACCTACATATTTGTAAGATGCCATCCATGCTTGTTCATCTTCAACAGTTACCACACCCTGAAATCATATTAAAAAGAATACCCATTAATTGCTTTTCTTTTTTCTTTGCAGCAGGTGGAATTTTCAACAAGTTATACAGAAACACACTTGCATCTCTAGAAATTAAAATAAAACCTAACAACAGATTGGGAAGTTTGGTGTGGAACATCAGGATCAGTGATTATGCTGTATATGAGTGGGACACTCATTCACGTTAATGGGCACTATATGAGGCCTGACGGCAGAAGAGACTCTCAGCAGATCAGATGACAGTAAAACATTTGAAGGCAGAATTAATGTCAAAGGGGGCAAAACAATGCTGTGGGATAATGCCATGTCTTTATCAAATAAAACCCGAACCTTTTCAATTGAACATAAATTACGGCGGGGTGAATTGTGGGGCTAGCCTTATTTCAAATACAACTTTGTCCTCAAGACTCAATTTGGTGCAATAAATATTCTTTACCAATAAGATCAAGACACAGGGGGTCAGAATCTCAGCAGAGAGGCTGAGGTTCCTAAGGCTTACAGAGTTACAGAGAGGTATGCCAAGCCTGAACAGCAAAAGAAATTCCTTTTGCTCATGCAGACAGAGAGGCAATATCTTAATAGAAAGATCCATAAAACCATTTTATTGGTATCTAATCTGATACAGATTTGAAATTAGAATGATCTCTCATGGGATTCTGTTGTCCAAAAACTTAACATCAATTGGTTTGGCATAAAAGTCTTGGAAGCTGACGTAGTGTGTCCTCTTCCCTGACTTATTCTCCAGCCACTGGCCTTTGTCCCTTTTTTTCCCTGACTAAAAAGCCTCTTCATAAAGGAAGAGCTTGACAGCAGATAATTAGGTTCTAAATGAGTCCCAGAGTGGGAAACTCTTTTAATCTGTAGCCTTGATTAGGTCTATCAGTATTCCCATGTGGAGTAGAACAGACTGGCAAAAAATTTAACCTTCTGTATACTGGCTTTGATAAAAGCCTCTGCATCCTATCACCAGAGCTGTAACAAGCATGGGTAAACCCTATGGGAGAGTGAAAGAGGGTGGAGGAGGACAGGGGAGGGGAGAAGGTGGAAGTACAGGTTGGGGTAGAGCTGCTGAGCACTGGAGGCATGGGAATCTTACTTACACTGGGGGCTAAAAAACAGTCCCTGACTGCTACTGCTTCTGCAGCTGCAGTGTGGGCTGCCTACCCAGGCTGTTGCTCCTATAGCAGCAGCATGGGGTCCAGATACCCAGATGCTGCTGCAACAGCAACACTATGGAGCTGCTTTTGCTGCCAGGTTGTAGACTCTGTGGGGGTGTGGGGCACAATACTTGTGCCCATATTAAGTTGGAGACTGGGGCTGGTGTCCCATTCACCCACCCCTAGTTAGACTACTGCTTCTCACAGTGAATCTTCCAATGGATGCAATGATAAACCTGCAAATACACCAATATGGTAACACTTCCATTGATTTTTAAAATGCATTAAATGCTTGTCACAAAATAACTGTTTCTTTCCTAACAGGAAACTATGGCCAATTACAAGTAGTGGAGAAAGTTTTTTCAAGCAAAAATAATTTTGCTTTTGCAACAACACCAAAGCAGAACAAACAACACCTCCATCTGCTGCATCTCATTTATTCAGAGACTGCAGGAGGGAAGAAAAATAAAATCTATTTGCTAATATTATGTGCCCACGTGTGTGACCTGCCTTGTAATACCGATATGGACTTTAAAGTAGAATGAAACTATCTGACTATACCACAATATAGGAAGGCAGTGTCCCCATAACAGAAAGCAGGGGAGCTTTACTCTCCTTAGATTCATCTAACCTGTAAACACTTGGGTCTAACAAGAAAGGGCATTTCTTGCCAGTTTGAAAGAGCCCTGGGGAAGCTGAGTAATTGCAGTGAGACTGGTTATGCTGTCTGGTTGGCATTTTACATTTAAATTACATTTTCAATGATTCACATAACCAGATTAATATTTTATTTTAATGTTACATAACAGCACTTGTTCCTGCAAGCTGTCTCTGTGAGACTTAACAAGAGCATCTGACACAAAGCAGCCTTCCTTTGTAGTGGGGAAATGGCCCTCTTCCCTGGATCTCTCCATTTTAACAACCTTTGCAGTGGCAGGACCCTGACAGCCCACATTCTCTGCTTTACCTGTGGCAGGTTAGGGTGCTCTTAGTGGTTTTTCTGGGGCAATATGTCTCGCAGCTGTGTAACGGGGTTGATTGTGTAGTTTTAGGAATAGGTCAGACAAGCATGTGTATGGAATGGTTTCGCTTGGGATGATCCAGCCTCAAGCAAGGGGTTGGACAATATAATGTCTGGAGGTCCCTTCCTGTCCTACTTCTCTATGACAGTTTGCAGGAATGTGCTCCTGTTAAATAAAGCACTAACATTCTGTAATGATACTGGACACCCATCTTTTGTTATCACATTAGTTTTGTTGTTGTTTTTAACGGAACTACAGATTAAAACAGCACTGTCCAACTGGTTGTCTGTTGGCTTCACGTAGCCTGCAAGCTCCCACCTGGCCGCCACTCAGCCCACTGTTCTTGTGTTCTTGCAGGCAGGGTATTCAGCGCCCCGCCACTCCTCTGGAGGAGGAGGCTGGAGGTGGCCAGGCTGCCTGTGCTGGACACAGGCTAGGGGAGGGTGCTGGCCTGTGTGCATTACCTGCTCTGCAAAGGAGGAAGCCAGGCTGCCTATGTTGCGTTCTGCAGGTGGGCTTGGCCAGCTCTGGATTAAAACAAATGCTGTCCACATCTTTTCAGGAGTAACTGGTTACTTTTGGTGTTCCAATTTTTGGATGATAAATTTGAGATGCCTTCAAGAGGCCTGATTTTCTAAACTCACCATTTAAAAATTAGGCACTAATCACTTTTTTTATAATTTTTGTCCTGAAACGTATACATGATATGTATTGCAGTGGGATAAAAGCCAACAGGAATGGTCTGCATCCTGCTGCAAGGAAATAAGGCCCCAGAACTATAACTACATGACATACTAACAGTGCAACTGTTCTACCAGCGGCCATTTTTCCAAGTCAATCTATCAATCAATAACTTAATATGTAAGCATCCACTTACACCTAATTTGAAACCAATATTCTAACTTTCTATCCAATATCACAGTAGTGGATCTAGGATGTAAAGACTGGGATTTGGGAATGGGATGACAATTACTGCCTTGAGCAGAAGGACTGGGTAATAACAACAACAACAGCAACAGATGTCTGAAGAGGGTGAAAATTAACATTTCAGGGAGCACCCCTCTCAGGAAAGGGGTGCTGTTTGGATACTTTAAAACATCATGCTTGGCTCCCTTCAAAAGCAGAGCACATTGCAGGAAGGTAGGGGTCGGAAATTGATTTAGATGGTGGAAGAGAAGAACCGTAGAAAAAAAAACAGGGAAGGAAATCAGCAAAGGGGATTTTGGAGGATGATTTGCTCAGGTCCCTTCAGACCCTACAAATTATGAAACTATGAAATGCAGATATGCCAATGGAAATTAAAAGGAGCAAAAATAAAAATAAATTGGAAAAGGGATGAGGGAAGAGGAAAATGCAACTAGGGTGGCATCTTTCAATCCCTATCAAGGCATCTCCCTGTCCCACACACACAAGACTTAGCATGAGTCATTTGTACTGAGACAAAAAGCTTCCAAGCAAGAACACACTGCTCCATCCATCCCCAGTACTGCCACCACTAATTTTCCCTAAACTCTGTGGAAAAGGAGAAGGGAAGAAGATGGTGCTTCTAGCCATCAGTAGTACAAAGGAGAAGGAATCACTGTGACAGTCAAAAATACTCTGTAAACACAGAAAACTAGAGACTAAAACAGGCATATCATTAAGAAGGGGATGTTGATGATGGGTGTGCTTAAAAATAAAAGAAATAAAATAGAAAATAAATAACATCCTGTATGAATTACCTTTTTATTGTTTTCTTGCTCCAAATCTTCAACAACCTAAGAAAAAATAAATATATTACCCAAAGAAACTGCAGAAAGACATGCTCGCAGGCATAAAAGAAAACAAAATCTCAACATCTTTTAAAAAATCTTGAAATTATATCCCTTTTCATTTTACGACCTGATTCACCTCGCTTTGACTCCCAAAGGTTTGCAGTATCTTTCCAATTCACATACAAAAGATATGGAAAGGTGTATGTAACTATACTGATAGAATGAAGAAAGCCACTGGGTAATCATTTGTCAGAGCTGAGGGCTGGAGGGTTACATGGAGAAAGAGAGGGAGTAATATACTCAAGTTGTCCAGACTGTGAAGACAAAAGCACTGAGACTACCTTGCAAGTGCCTGCCTTTGGAAAAATCCTTCTGCCTGTCTCATGAGATGGAAAAATTTACTTGCCACTGGAGTACCATTCCTTGAGTGTCCTTTTGTGCCACCTCCAGTTATAACCTGTCACCACTAAGAAAGTGCCTTAGACAGAAAAATGGTGACACAGCACTCCATTTATATACTTAAAGAATCAGGATTCATTATCAAGTCATTGTTCAGTGAAAGATCCAAGTAGTGACCTTAGGGCACATACAGAGGATGACTGACTATGTTGAGGACCACCACTAGCACATCTGAGGGCCTCCTGGTTCAGTAAGTAAAACAGACTTAGCAGCAATGTTAAAACTGCAGTTGAGTGGGAAACTGTTAGGACCCGCAGCAGCAAGGATGCTGAATCAAAGAGAAAGTGAGCAGGCTCCTCTGATACTGCTCTGGAAAGATACACTGCCAAAGGCAGTCTGAATAACAAGGAGAATTTCCCTATTGGTATTTATCTCTGGAGCAAGCTCCAAAACAAGCCAAGCAGGAGAGAAGAGGCCAGAATGTTTCAGTGATGAAGAATTCAGTGTCAAAGCCAGGACCTCCTACAAATACATGAAATTATTTTTAACTATTTCCAGTCAGATCCTGAAGTTTGTGCATGGTACTTTCCAAGGTATGGACCCCATTTAGTCCAATGGAAATGTTATTTGAATAAATACAGTAGGCATTAACCTGTAAAAATTTAAATTGTCATAAATTTAAATGTCAGCAACTGGGTTAGAAAATGCTTAAGTGATTTATATCAAACTTCCATCTAAAACTTAACTGGATTATGATACTACCCCCTCAATGAAAGCTCTTTTCCAACACACTGTGTGGAAAACCTTCCTGAAAAAATGCATATAGGAGACAATCCTACCTTTTTGACGCTGTTGGCAACAACTTCTTTTTGACTCAAATCATCTGCAGAAAGTTCACTTCCAAATTTGAACTCTGGATGAGCTTCTTCTTCTTGGTCAACTACACAGGAATGGGAGGAAGAAAGGAATAAATAAGAAAAACAAATGGTACATAGTTTTTGTGGAAACAATTAGAAAATCATCAGACCTATTGAATAAGCTCACTTCTGAAAGCAAAAGTAAAAACAGGAAAACAGAAAGATTTCCAGCAAGTACTGGCAGCTTTCACTGAATACCTCAAATTCCTGTACTGCATGCATAGATATAAAAAGATTTGCTCCATATATTTCTTAAAGATATGAATTTGACAGGAAAAATACAAAAAAAAAAAATTGTATAAAAAACAAGGAAATAAAGAATGACTCTTAAAATATAAATTCAAAATCTTCTGGTACCACCACATGACTTCTTATATGTCTGTACAGTCTCTTTCCTTCTGTACAATTCCCTGTAAAACAAGAACCACTTTTATTTATTTTTAGAAGCTTCTTTTATATATAGAACTAGTGTCTTCAAAGAAAGCAGTATGGTCATGTGCTCTGACACAGAATCTTTTTTTTTTTTTTGGTACAAATTATTTATTTAGATATAAATAATAATTAAGATGCCGCATAACTAAATCTCTAGGCACTCTAACACATAATTAATAATGCAACAAAATCCCAGCAGCATTAAAATTAATAATCTTAACAGGAATTCTGCCAGCCAGCTACAGATTCTCTCTTGTGCTCCTTCATTACCAAGGAAGCGTACTTCCGATCAAGCAGAGAAGAAAATTCTAGCTCTTCCCTTGCCAGCCATACCCTTCCTTTTATTGTGAGGGGGAATCTGTCAGGTGTGCATCTGCTGATTGTAATGGTGGCAGTATGCCACATGGAGGGAGAAGAGACCTGTAGGTAGGCTGGTTCTGGGCCACTCAGTACTTTATAGATCATAATCCAACACTTTAATCTTAATTTAGAGACCATGGGGAAGCCAGCACAGAACCTTGAGAACCGATATCATATGCTCCCAGCCCTACTCAGTAAGTGAGGTACAGGCAGACCTTGATTTACGACTGTTCAAGTTACAACAAACGGCACTTATGACCTTTGTAAATTACAACACAGTTTCGAAGTTCCAATGGGGTTTTGACTTTACGATGCTGGACACAGCTGCCTCCAGCTGCTAAGTCTGTTGTGGTGGGACATAGGGGGGGCAGATCAATGCTCCCACAGCGAGGGAGGGATTGGGGCTGTGGCTGGGACAGGTGGGTAGGAGGGGCTGCAGCTCTTGCCACTGCATGCCACCGGTCTGGGAGGGCATGTGCTCCTGGATCTGTGTGGGGCGGGCAAGGCCAAAGCTGCCCCGGGCCACACTCTGGGCCAGCGACAGAAGGTGCTAGCAGTGGGGGCTATGCCCTTTTGACGCTCACCCAGCCGGGGTGGGGTGAAGCCACTGGGTTGCCTATGGACAAGCGGTTTGCAGCAGCCAGAGCTGCCCTGGCCTTCTCACTGGGCGAGTAGCAGCAGGGCATGGGGGAGGAGGGGTTTTCTCCTGGATCTGTGTGGGGTTCGCAGAGCCAGAGCTGCACTGGGCTGCACTCCAGGTGGGTGGTGGGGGCTATGAGGAATTTAGGGTGGTTTACAGCCCCACCATAGCCCCCGCCCCACCCTGATCCAGGGAAACACTGCCCCTCATGCCCTGCTGTTGCCACTTGCCCCAGTGGGGCGGGGTGAAGCCATGGCTCCTCTGGGAGACATGGGGAAGCCAGGCCAGCCCCCTCCTCCACCTGCTCCACGCAGATCTGGGGCAAACACCCCCCTCCCCACTCCGGACCAGCAGCAAGCAGTGGTGAGAGCCACTGGATGAGCTGCTAGATAAGCAGCTCCCAGACCAGCAGCCCACAGGGCGGGAGCCACCCACCCCT